CCACCCAGGTGCGTCAGGGGGGGAGCCAAGGAAGACGCAGGGAACGGCACGGGAGGACAGCTTGTCCGCGGAAGCATCGCGGACAAAAGCTCGAGATCCCCAGACACGGAACAGAGACGCATCTCCAACCTTCCCCATCCATTGCAGAGTAGGTGTGATCTCCGGCAAGGAGACACGAGGCTGAAGGTTGATCTGATGCGCAGCGTACTGAACCGCGAACGGCCATAGAAAATGGGGAGCAGCCGCATGGATCATTGACGTACGAGCGACGTCCATGACCATGCCAATGCGGCGCTTAGCAATCCCATTTTGATGTGGGGAGGCCGGAAGCGTGAACGTCTGGCGGATGCCCTCCGCACGACAGAAGGCCCTCAGAAGGTCGGAGGAAAACTCACCACCTCTGTCTGAGTGCAGACGCAGAACAGGAAGGTCCGAGCCGAAACTCTCGCTGAGCTGGCGACGGGCACCGCGGATCCAGTCGATCAACACCTCAGTGACCTCACCCTTACGGCGCAAGGGGAAGACTGTGGTGTAACGCGAGTAGTCGTCAACGACCAGCAGGAAGTAACGCTCGTGACCCTGTCCACGGACGCGGGCTGGGCCCCACACGTCCATGTGAAGAGTCTGGAGGGGAGCCTCTGTCGGAGGGAACTCGGAGGAGTGAGGCGCGGCGCGCTGCCGGCCCTCGACACAAGGAACACAGGTAGGGGCAGGCCCCAGAGGAAGGGGAGGGAGGGACCGGGGGAGACCAGAGACAAGGGTACAGGAGGCCATACCTCGAAGACGAGGCAGGGAGGGGTGACCAAGGCGGTGGTGACAAAGGAGAGTCTCGTGTGACAGAGGACGACACGAGCAGGGGGCCGACGCTGGACTAGACCTGGACGCGGCAGAAAACACCTGACCAGACGCAGCTACCTGACCAGACGCAGTAACTGTAGGAGACGCGGTATTCGGTGTGTACAGACTCGAGCCAGGCCGACGGGTGAACGTGGCCAGGTGGGGGCCCGTCCGAGAGCAAGTGCAGTGGGTCACACGCTGACCTCCAGGGGTGAACTGGTCAACCCACGCGTCCTGGAGGTCAGCTCCACTCACCAAGTTCGTAGAGAACAAGGGGAGGTGGAGTCCCGACAGCAAGCCCGACGGGCTGCAGGACATAGTAGAACCGTGGAAGAGTGCGCAAGGACTGGGCCCCCAGAGGGGTCAGCCAGGGAGACTGCTACAGGCCGACTGAGCGGCGTGAGTGTCGTGCTGTCGCGAAAGAAGGAGTGCGAGGCACCAGAGTCAAGTGTGAATGTGTGCAAGGCCTCAGTAGGTGCAGTACCAGAGAGAGCAGACTCACCAGCACCTGGAGCAGCAGACTCACTAGTACCTGGAGCAGCAGACTCACCAGTACCTGGAGCAGCAGACGCACTAGCACCTAGAACAGCAGCCTCAATGCCCGGGTCGGGCGGAACACACAGTTAGCAGTCACCCTCAGCATTATCAGACACAGCATACATGGCAGCAAGGATAGCATCGAAATCAAGATCAAAGATAGTGACAGTCTGCCTAAGCAGATCACCCCAGCGAGGGAGCTTAACAGCGTCAGGAAACTGGGCGCGCCAGGCGACCGGAGCAGCGCTGCGCAGTGTGTGGCAGCCCGCACGTCTCCCCACGGTGCCCGCCGGTGCGAAGAACGTAAGTGCAGGGACCAACACCCCCAGACCTCCCACGCCCAGCGTACCACTCACGAAGCTGCTGGGCCGACGGGGTCTCACGGGAACGCGGCTGCTGCTGGCGCTGGCTACCACCAAAGCCTCCACGCTGCACGGCTCCACCTAGACCAGCACCACCGCCGCCGCCACCTCCACCACCGCTGCCACTGCCTCCACCGCCGCTGCCGCTGCCTCCACCACCCCCACTGCCGCCACCGAAGACCCCACTCCCGCCACCACCCCCACCTCCACCGCCACCCCCTCCGCCTCCTCCACCGCCTCCACCGCCTCCACCGCCGCCCCCACCGTCCCCTCCACCACCCTTGCCCCCCTTGCCCTTGCTGTTGCGGCGCCTCCCACTAGGAGCAGACGCAGCCCCGACCTCCTCAGTGCCAACGAGGTCGACAGCAGCAGCAGAAGCAACAGAGGGGAGAAGGGGGACAGGGGAACACCTCTCAAAGAAAGGGGCGCGACGGTCGCCGCGAGAAGCACCTACAGCTAAGATACTCTTCTCAGCTGCATTGAGGCGCTCCTCTAGCAGGTCAACAGTGAGCTCGGTGGGGCAAAGGGAGAGAAAGTGGTCCCTGACTGAAGCAAGGGAGTCAGGGAGGCGGGTGACTAGGTAGTAAAGGGTGATGTACATGGGGGGGGGGGTTCTTGGCACAGAACTCAGTGGGAAGCGCAGCTCGGTAGCGGGCGTCACTAGTGCGGAGGTGAGTAATGAGGTCAGCGACTGTGGCAAAAACGGCAAGGTCAGGGAACAGGTACGGTAGCATGAGGCGGCTGAGGGCAGCAGTGGAGGGGGAGGAGTAGCGCGCTACTGCAGCGTCGTACAAAGACTGGGCAATCTTGTACTGGCCAAAGTGCGTGCGCTCAGCAGACGGCAGGTGACTACAAACAGCAAGGCGAGCAACAGCGTCACGATTGGTCCACTGCAAGCGAACCGTACTGTCAGCAGTGGCAGCAGGTGCAGTAGAGACACCGGACGTGTGATCGAAAAGGGATACCCCGTCCCTAGAGTCACACTGAAGAAAGAGTTGCAGGTCGTCAACCCACACGTCAAAGTCAAATGCACGCCCCTCAGCATCAAAGGTAAGAACAGTAGGGCTAGCCATAGCGGCAGTAGCAGCAGTAGCAGCAGTAGCAACAGTGGCAGCAGAAGCAGCAGTAGCAGCACGGGCAGTGCAGGCAGGGTAGTGCGGCTCAGTAGGGCGGCGCGGCTCGGCAGGGCGGCGCGGCTCGGCAGGGCGGCGCGGCTCGGCTGGGCGGTGCGGCTCGGCTGGGCGGCGCGGGTGCTTACCAGGGGCGGGTGCAGGGCAGGGCCGCAGCCGGCGGTTTAGGTCAGGGCCGCGACGGGGGCGGCAGCAGGTCAGGGCCGCGACAGGGCGGCTGCAGGGTAGGGCCGCGACGGGCGGCGAAGGCAGGGCCGCAAGTGGGGCGGCAGCAGGGTAGGGCCACGACAGGGCGGCAAAGGCAGGGCCGCGACGAGCGGCGACGGGCCAGCGACGGGCGGCTACGGGCCAGCGACGGGCGGCAACGGGCCGGGACGGGCCGGGACGGGCCAGCGACAGGCGGCGAAAGGCAGGGCCGCGACAGGGCGGCTGCACGGCAGGGCCGCAGTGGGCGGCGAAAGCAGGGCCGCGACGAGCGGCTACGGGCCAGCAACGGGCGGCGACGAGCCGGGACAGACCGGGACGGGTCAGCGACGGGCGGCGAAGGCAGGGCCGCGACGGGCCGTACTAGGGCAGGGCGCGAGGCGCGCTTTAGGCAGGGCGCGAGGCGCGCTTCGGGCAGGGCAGGAAAAAAAATCGTGGTGGGCCCTAAAAAAAACGTTCCCACTAGGGAACCTGCTCTGAATTCCATGTCAGAATAGTGAACGAATAAATGACTGAACTAGAAAGCAGGTGGGTACAAGTAGGAAACCTAAAAGTGTTATACCCTATATGAACTACCCCACTATAGCCTAAACAGACTATAGCATATAAGTTTGACACTTGCCGCACCCCCTTGCTCATTGTTATTGCCTCCTTGGTCCAACCATTTACATGTATTCTTGTCCCTGCTTCAAAGTGCAGGCCCTCCGTCCATGTCATGAAATCCTCCGGGACCCCCATACCCCTCATCGTGCGGAAGAGAAAGTGTCTCGAGATCGAGTCAAACTCTTTTGTGGAAATCCACCATGAGCAGCAGCCAATCTTCGTTGCCACTAGCCCCTGCTTCAATTGCGTCTGCTACCACCGCCACCGCGTCCGCCAGCTTCTTGCCAGGTATGAACCCGACTTGGTTCTCCAGAATATCTAAGCGGAAACGGGTCGTCTAGCCTGACGATCCATTGACGACTTGACGACATGCTGCCCCGGGCAGAAAAAAACTAAAACCCTATCGGATGGCATGCCATCCGAGGGAGGCATCAACCCTAAATCCATGCCTCCCTGTGTTTAGGGTTGATGCCTCCCTGACCGGATGCATGCCCGAATGGGATTTATTTTTTTTGCCCGCGGGCAGCGAGCTCCCCCGGGCGGACTCGCTTGTCCGCTGAGATATATTCGTCGATATTACCTCGTGTAGTACTTTTTTGAGCCTGCTGGCCAGCACCTTCGTGAATTTCGTGCTGGACAGATTGGTTGGTTGAGTCAATTGACACCAAAGCCAGGCTGACCAGGTTACGTTACCCTTCGCAACGAATTTCGTGCTGCTCATTGACATCGATCGTGGCATGTCTGAAGAGCCACTCGATTTTCGTGGATGTAGTGTCGTTGATGTCCGTTGGCGGAACTTGACGAAATCACGAAGCTCCACAATTCCCAGCACAACAAAACAGTTTACAGCTATCAGTAACATATTCAGCCCCAGTACGTTCTGGATTTCAAGTTCAGAATTCTTGGACTGAAGTTTGCAAAAAAAGGTAACCCGCTGATAGTCGATGTCTTTCTCCCTCGCGACAAACAGAGGTGGTGTTGCGACGTTGAGCAATGATTGGCTAGGGACCACCAGCAAGGCAAATTGAAGGGGGCGATCGCCAAAAGTTTGGCACCATCGGTGTTACCGTCAATCAACCCTCCGATCCGCTTAGGGGGAACGCGCCCTAAAATCGTTCATACATCTTGAAGGCAATAACGTCTTTATACCCCCCTGCATATGTTATTTTTACACCCAGCTCACTCGAATGTCTCACTCTCGTCGCGCACAAGCGCGATCTCTCGTCATTCGCATTGTCGTCTTTTGCGGCGAACGCTCTTCGCTCGCTTGTCCCGTTGCTCTCTTCCCCCCACCGTCACTCAGTATAGTCACTCATTCTCACGTCACATGCTCTCCCATCACTCGCTCGACGCCCTCGTGTGCTCTGGCTGTCGACCTCGCTCCCCCTCCCCGTTGCCCTCTCTCCCCCCTCCCCGTCGCCCTCGCTCCCTCTCCCCGTCGCCCTCGCTCCCTCTCCCTGTCGCCCTCGATCCCTCTCCCCGGCTGCCTCGCTTCCGCTGCCTGTCGCCCTCGCCTCCCCTGCTCGTCGCCCGCTTCCCCTCGTCGCCATTGCTTCCCCTCGTCGCCATTGCTTCCCCTCGTCGCCATTGCTTCCCCTCGTCGCCATTGTTTCCCCTCATCGCCCTCGCTTCCCCTCATCGCCCTCGCTTCCCCTGCCTGTCGCCCTCGCTTCCCCTCGTCGCTCTTCTCATCGCCTTGCCCGGCGCCCTCGGTTCTCCTGCCCATCGCCCTCGCTTTCCCCTTCATCTCCCGCCCTGTCGCACAGTTTCTCCCATTATTGATTCTCGCGACATTCTAGCACACCCGTCAACCGCTCTCGTCCCACCCTCCCGTCATTCTCTCCCGTCGCTCACTCCTCCCAGTTACCGCCCTTCTACACCCCACTTCTCACTCTCTTCAGTTGCTCACACTCTTCAGTCTCTCACACTCAGTAATTCACACTCTCAGTCTCTCACACTCTGTCTCTCACACTCAGTCTCTCACACTCTTCAGTCTCTCACTCTCCTCAGTCTCTCACACTCTTCAGTCTCTCACTCTCCTCAGTCGCTCACACTCTTCAGTCTCTCACACTCAGTCTCTCACACTCTCAATCTCTCACACTCAGTCTCTCACACTCTTCAGTCTCTCACACTCTTCAGTCTCTCACTCTCCTCAATCTCTCACACTCTTCAAACTCTCACTCTCCTCAGTCGCTCACACTCTTCAGTTTCTCACCCTCGTGGCACTCTCGACCACCCGCCACCCTCCCTTTCCCCCCCCATCACTTAATCCCTTCCCCCCCCCCCCACCTACATCCCACCCTCTCTCACCTATCCCCCACCTTCCCCCCACTTACCGCCCTCTTTTCCCCCACTTACCGCCCACTTCCCCCACATACTGCCCGCCTTCCCCCCTCCTCTTTTGCAACAGCCACCACCCCATTCACCCCGTTCCCGCCCCTTCTTCATCCCTTTCCTTCCCTCACGCACGGTCCGACCTCTCCCCACTTATCCCCTTCCCTCCCCTCACTTACCACCGTCCTTCCTCCCCACATACCGCCCTCTTTCCTCCCCATATACTGCCCTTCTTCCCCTAAATTACCACCCTCCAGCCACCAACTTACCACCCTCAACCACACCCACATACCACCCTGCTTCCCCCCACTTACCAACCTCCAACCCCCTATGAACCACCCTAATGACCCCCCACAAACCACCCCCATACCCCCCACATACCGCCTCCGTGCCCCACCCACCTTGTTCCCTACATACCACCTTCCTTCCTTCCAACATGCCGCCCTCCTATCACCCCATATAATGCCCATATTCCCCCTAACAAACCACCATCATTTCTCCCCTTATGACCCTCATTCCCCCCCACTCACCGCCCTCCTTCCACACACATACCTCCCTCTACTTACCTCCCTGCAACCCCTCTGCAATCCTCTTTTCCCCCACATATCGCCCTCCTTCCCCCCCACCCACCACCCTCTTTTCCCCCCCACAACAGCTTACCTCCCCTCCAAAATAGTGTTCTCGTTTGTCAAACTTATCACCCGTATGGCCCCTCTATTCCCACTCCGCATGGGCAGAGGGGCAGAGGTGTGGGAGACAAGGAGAGGGGAAGAGAGGGCTAGCAGGTGCGCATGTTGGAGGAGAATCAGATACGGTAGGCCCTAGGAACTTAGGGCTTAGTGGGAGCCTAGGCAACGAGTGTCAAGACTCAAGAGGGTACGTCTGTATCAAAAGTTCGTCTACTTTGTCTGATCAGTACGTCTGTTATAGGACTACCAGGATGGTTATAACAATATGGCATTACTACTGATAATGATTAGTAGACGAACTTCCTAGAAAAAAATATTTGTAGGAGCATAAAACCGATCTTAGTAGAGTTCTGTTCGTCTGTTTTTCCTTTTTATTAAGTATTTGGCAACATTCAAATTCCTCCAAATAAAAAACCAACAAATGAATCGCAATAGGTGGCTCCGCAACCCGATAAAGGTTCCACCGAGAACAGGATGAGATGTAAAATGAGATTGCGTAACAATTCACACGTTAACTCTCTCAACTTAGTGTAGCTTTGCGTTTGCTTTTACGAAGGTGTCTCTGTGTGGAAGTTTGGATTCAACGTCAGAGATCGCAAGTTCCGTTTGCTCGTACTGCTTATCGACGGCCTCACGCGACCAGCGGAAATCACACCCTTCATTGCGAAACGCTTCCGAATCGCTAGGGTTTGGTTGATGGTGGCGGCGACGCAATGGTACTTTCCATTCCAGAGTCCATTGCCGAAGGGTCCGCGTGTGAGTTCCATTTGCCCGCGTGTGAAGTTCCATTTGCCTGTTGAGAGCTTATTAGTGTTCATCGGTTCCTTGCAAGGCATTTGTGCTTTCAAACTTGGCGACACAGCTTTCTGTACCAACCCTCTCCAGCCCTCGAAGTTTTGTAACCCTAGAGCTTACTCAACTGCACTATGGCTCGTACCAAGCAGACGGCTAGGAAGTCCACAGGAGGAAAGGCTCCTAGGAAGCAGCTCGCCACCAAGGTAGACTTAGTTGCTATACTTGTTTAAGCATATAATAACGTCAGCACGGCCAATAGGTGCCTGTACGCGCAACTGATTTATTTTCCTGTATGAGTGGTCCAGGCTGCAAGGAAGTCTGCTCCTACAACAGGAGGAGTGAAGAAGCCCCATCGTTACCGTCCCGGAACCGTCGCCCTTCGGTGGGTATTTTCGAGATTTTCGTACGTCAGCTCCGTTGTGAGCTTATCTGACATCTTGTTCGATGGCTTGGCAGTGAGATTCGCAAGTACCAGAAGAGCACTGAGCTGCTAATTCGGAAGCTTCCCTTCCAGCGGTTGGTTCGCGAAATTGCTCAGGATTTCAAGGTTCGACATTTTTAGTTTTACATATTGATCGTCATTGCTTTCCGCTATCTTCCGTCCTAACCATGACTTAACTAATGCTATCTGTACTGCGCAGACGGACCTAAGGTTCCAAAGTCACGCCGTGCTCGCACTTCAAGAAGCCGCAGAAGCGTATCTTGTCGGTTTGTTCGAGGACACCAATCTGTGTGCCATTCATGCCAAGCGTGTCACCATCATGCCTAAGGACATTCAGTTGGCACGGCGCATCCGCGGAGAGAGGGCTTAAAGTTGTTTTATGTGTATAGAATGTTTGAGCTCGTGATGGAGCTTCAAAGCCGCTCTCGACCTTTCACGTACTCCCTTGTTTCAGGGGAAGTAGGCTTGTCTTCTGTATTTCTAGGATACGGTAGTGTGGCTGTTGATCACTTACCATGGATGTTCGGATCTGGAATGGAGTAGCATTGTGGATGATTACTAACAGTGCATCTCTTTCTACAATAGTGCATGCTTTTGCTGATTCACCCAATTAAAAATGGACGAGCAATAAGTAAATGGTAGGAATTTAAAAAAGGTGCTGCTTGTCAAGCATAGGCATGTTTATTGTACAGCAGTGGACTATTCTTTGCTAAGGATCAAATGGAGGCTCAAAATTTCCCAGTATGGTGTAGCTCCTGTATTTTGATATCTGAAAGGTTGCTCAATAGCCCTGAACCTCTCCATGCATTGCCATTCTCCATACCCTCACGCATCATCCGACTGAACTCCTCCAGGTCAATGTGCCCACTCTGTAAGTGAGGGGCAGACGGGGAAGAAGAAAGGGGAGGGGAAGGTGTGACTTGTAGGTTGCAGTAACTGGCCGTGGGGGCCTTGGGGAAAAAAACCAGTTAGAGCAGAATGCTTTTCTCACATTCTTGTTGCCAATCTCCTTGAAGAGGCGCTCCACTGTCTCATCACTCTCGCCTGCTGCAAGCGTGGCCTTCAAATCAGCCATTGTGATATAACCACGCCCTTCCCTGGAACACACAGAGGGCAACGAGCACATGAATTAGCAGCAATTGCTTGAAAGAAGTGGTCAATGCAACCGGGATAAAGCTCGTGGCCCACATCACAATCTTGACCGTCTTCTATCAAGCTATGTGGCAGCATGTGTGCTTAATACATACATGTCTTCTACCTGACTGCACGGAAATGCATCCTACCCTAATGGATGAGCAACAAAGACTGTCTCACGACAGCAGTGACCCACCCATCGGAGTGCAGGAATACCCACCCTATGCACGCACCATCCATGCACTTCACCACGGTGGCCGATGCACGCTCTGACTTTCGAGGCGTCTCAAAACTCACTTGTCAAAGTGCCGGAATGCCTTCTCTATGCGTGCGGCATCCATGCGCTTCACCATGATGGCCGATGCATACTCTGACAGGTCCAATGTGCCCGACCCCTTGCTGTCCGCCTGGCCTCGGGGGGGTGAGGGGGGAAGAGAGAGGCAGGTGGGGGAGTTGCAAGTCAACATGGTCAAAGCGAGTTCGTCTCACCACTTTGACAATCTCTCCGTTGTTGGAGAAAGGTCGGGGAGAGGGGAGAAAAGGGGGGTGGTGCATCTGCGGAAAGCCTGCCGTATGTGAGTCGTTGTGTCAATCATCGAAAGAACCTAGATAGGTCCACCGTTGCATAGGAACAAGTCTGTACTAGGGTCAAGTAAATCAAGTGAGATTGGTTCATTCTGAGTGGGACGTGGCTTGGCTCATCACGAGTGGAGAATAACTCGGCGCAAAATTAACAGGAGGATAGCTTGGCTCGCCTTAGCTCACTGTTTGAATGATCTCTCTGGCCTCCCCCTCTGACAGTGGGATGTGCAGTGACTGAAAGCCGACATCCAGGTCGGAAACAGAGATGCGGCCGTTCCTATCCAGGTCCAGATGGTGAACGTGCATTGGCTCATCAAGGGTGGGGGCGACATCTTCGTTTGGCACACCACTATTGGGGCAAACCTTGCCTTGGCACACCGCTATTGGGGCAAACCTTGCCTTGGCTCACCGCTTGAATGATCTCTCTGGCCTCTTCCTCTGACAACGGAATGTGCAGCGACTGAAAGGTGGCAACGAGATGAGACACCGAGATATAGCCATCCCTGTCGAGACATGCACTAGGGGAAAGCTTGGCTCACCGCTTGGATGATCTCTCGGGCCTCTTCCTCTGAGAGAGGGATGTGCAACGACTGAAAGCCGGCAACGAGGTCAGACACCGAGATACAACCATCCCTGTCGAGGTCGAGATGGTCGAAGCGTGTTCGGATCGCCGCCATCTCATTCTCGTCCAAACAGCACCCCGCTACCACCTGGCCGGGGGTTGGGGAAGGTGGAGGGGAACGGGGAGGGGAAGGTGGAGGATAAAGGGTAGGGGAAGGTGGAGGGGAACGGGGAAGGGGAAGGTGGAGGATAAAGGGGAGGGAAGGGTGGAGGGGAACGGGGAAGGGGAAGGTGGAGGAAAAGGGGAGGGAAGGGTCGAGGGAAAGGAGGGAAGGAAAGAAAGGGGGCCAGGAGTTTTTTGTTAATATTCTTTGCCACTATCCTGGAGGCATGAGCGAGACATCGCCCAATGGTTTGCTCAGCTGCCATGGCCCTCCCTTGTTTGGAATGTGCAAGCTTTGCTCGCTTCATACAATCCGTGTGTGCTTGCTTGCTTGCTTCATACAATGTCAAGACGCTTTCACAAAGACTCTCCATTAGGGCAACGTGGCTTGGGCTCACAACAAGATCCCTTCCAGGTTTGAGATATGTTTTGAAAGATTGATTTTGAGGCAATGATATTCTTCGTATCGTGTTTTGATGGGAAGATGCAAAGGTGGGGGGATTGCAAGGGGCTTACTGCGAGCGCTCGTCGCTTGAGGTGGTTCATCTGGCAGAACTGGAGCACGCGCTTCATCACCGGTAGGGCCAGAGGACACGTGGGCGCTCCTCCCTCCCGCACCCACTCATGCTGCGGACAGAGTGGATGAAAGAGTGTGAGAGTGCAGATTTTGAGGCGCGTTAAACTTAGACCCGGTCTCTTGCGCCCACTCTTGCGCTCTGCGTGTGGAGAAAGTGAGTGAAAGAGTAGGACTCTATTTTTGCGGCCCTAAAAAATACACGGGACCGGGGGAGAGAGAGGGCATGCAGGCGCTCCTCCCTCTCGCAACCACTCGTGCTCTGTTGTGTGCGGACAGAGTGAGTGCGTGCTGTCAGTCAGTCTGAGTGAGTGCATGGACCAGTCAATCAGAGTGAGTGTGTTTTTGCGCATGCATATGTGAGAATGCGTGAAGAGACCTTCTAAAAGCACAAGCATGGCCATTCTTTTACCGGATCACACTCTGTGAAGAGGTTCACAAGGGGACATGGCCGGTCAGGGATCAATGCGCATTTACCGCTGCACCTCAACACCCAACAAGCAACTCCCTCCCCCCTTTTCTCCCCCTCCTCCTCCCCCTTCCTTCCCCCAAAACACACATACCAAGGATCTCCTTTGTAGTAATTCGCCGGGCTGCATCGCTGTCCAGCATGCGCCGCACCAGGTGCTTTCCATGGGCTGCTCATCTCATCTCGTACCCTCAAACTGCTGGTGCAGACACACGCACACACCTACCGAGAATCTCCTGTGTGGTGATTCGTCTTGCTGCATCGCTGTCCAGCATACGCCCCACCAGGTGCTTCGCCTGCTGGGAGATGGCCGGCCAAGGGGGACTGCTCATCTCGTACTCTCCCTTTAGCACCGCCTCACATATCCCCTCCTCTGACACTGGTGGGGGAGTGAGGGAAGGAGGGAGGGGGGAAAAGAAGGGGTGAATGAGGGGCGAAGGTGCTTGGTTTGCTGGTCGAGGGCCGGCCGGCCAGGAGCAATGCTCAGCTCATACGGGCCCTTCAATACCACCTAACACATACCCTCCTCCGATACTTTTGGGGGATGAGTAGGGGAGGGGACGGGGGAGTGGAAGAAGGGGTGAAAGAAGGCGCATGGTTTGCTGGGCGATGGCCGCCCGGCCAGGTGGACTGCTCATCTCGTACTCTCCCTTTAGCACCGCGTCACATATACCCTCCTCCGATACTGGTGTGGGTGAATGGAAGTGAAGGTGCGTCAGGAAGGAGGGGAGGGGAGGGGAGGAACCAGGAGAAGGGGACCACGAAAGAAGTGGTCGTGCAGCTGCAACTGAGGTACAGTGCAGTGCCGTACAGTGCAGTGCCTTTCAATGCCAAAGCGCTTTGATGTTTCAGGCACTCGACTTGATTGTGGAAAAGCGCAGGAGCCAAAGATGTGAAGGCCATGGTATGGTACGCGTCAAGTGGGAGATTTTAGAGTCGGCCCAGAACATAGAGTTAGAAGGCCATGGTATGATGTAGTACGTGGCGGGTGGAGTCAACTCACACCTCTCTCATACGTGGTAGTACACATGCACACGTGATGGTGGACGCTGAGAATCGAACCCAAGACCTTTAATGTTATTGAGATAACGCAGGTCCCAGATAAATTCTGAGACACAGGAATCTACCATCTTTGCCAACATACTTTATGACCGTATTCCATTTTACCGCCCCACCTCAACACAACCCACCATCCCAGAAGGGGTCGGTGCCGCACAGCAGCATGTAGGTGATTATGCCAGCGCTTCACCACACGTCACACTTGCTGCCATAACTGCCTCGCCGCACACCGCACCGTGCACTACAAGAAATCACCACATTCCACCGCATCACACCCTGCGCTATGCCATATCACCTCAGTACACTGTACCACACCTTAACATACCATCCCAAAATGGCGGAATGCCACACACACAGCAGCATGTAGGTGATCACCCCAACGCTCCACACATCGTACTCCCACCATGCATTCCCAGCACTCCATATCACCACATTCCACCATACCACACACAACCAGATCCCAGCGTACCATCCCAGAAGGGCGGGGTGCCGCACAGCAGCATGTAGGTGATGACTCCAATGCTCCACACGTCACACTCGCTGCCATAGTCCCTCCTGAGCACCTCTGGTGCCACATAGTACGCACTGCCCACCACCTCCTTGAAGCGCTGCCCTGGGAGTGACACGGAGTAGCACGTGAGTGTAGTAGACGGAGGGGAGGGAGGAGGTGATCACTCAAATGCTCCACTTGTCACACTCTCTGCCGTTGTCCCTTCTCAGCATCTCTGGCGCCACATAAGAGGCACTGCCCACCACCTCCTTGAAGCGCTGCCCTGGGATAGGCGGCGAGGGAAGAAATGAGGCAAAGAAAAAAGTAAGCCTAAAGGGGGAGAGTGGAGGGCAGCATGTGTCACGGTACAGCGCTCACACTGCCCACCACCTCATTGGTGCGCTGGCTTGGGAAGACACGTGGGGAGGAAGAAGCAGGTGGGGGATGAAAGCAGGCAGAGTTAGAGAAAGCACTGCCCTCCACACCTCCATGAGGCGCTGGCCTGGGATATGCAGTGAGGGACGAAATCAAGCAGAGAAAGAGTAGGCTTACAGGGATGTGCTATGGTGGGTGGGGGAGGACGCAGGAGTCACTGCTGCTGTGTCACGTTGGGGAGTGGAGAGTGGAGAGTGGAAAGTCTAAAGCACGTGGATACCGTCACACGCACGAAAGAACGGCACGTACCAACACACTCACGTGGCTCGAAGAAAGTGGAAAGACCAACGTCAATGGCCATGAGAGGGGAATCCCCCCCTGTATGCAGCAGCAGCAAGTTCTCTAGCTTGACATCCCGATGTACCACACACTCTGCCTCCCCTGGATACCGCACCGCACTGCACTGCACTGCACTGCACTGCACTGCCACGCACCCGGCTCAAAGAAGGTCGACAGCCCAAAGTCGATGGCCATGAGGGGGGCATCGTCTCCCGGGTGCAGCAGCAGGAAGTTCTCGAGCTTGAGATCGCGATGCATAACGCCCCGCCCGTGCATGTACTGCACTGCCTGCACTATCTGACGCACCATGCCGGCCGCCTGCTGCTCACTGTAGCTGCCCTCCGCCTTGATGCCATCGTATAGCATGCCGCCTGGGTGTGGGGGTGGGGAGGGAGAGGAGAGGCAGGAAAGGAACTTTTTTTTTTTTTAAACAAGATGCCCTTCTGCTCATCCCACTATATGATTTACCGTCTGGCAGGAGGGGAGGACAGGGGAGAGGCGGGAAGGCTGAGTATTGCTGTAAATCCACCTTTCCTCTCCCTTCTTTCCTCTTTTGTTCTTTCTCCCCTCCACCTCCTCTCCTCCTTCGCTTCTCCTCCTGGGGTGGTGGGGACGGTTGGGAGTGGAAGTGGGAGGGGTTGGGTGGGGGTAGGAGGAGGGGGAGGGGGAGGGGGAGGGGGAGGGGGAGGGGGAGGGGGAGGGGGAGGGGGAGGGGGAGGGGGAGGGGGAGGGGGAGGGGGAGGGGGAGGGGGAGGGAAAGGGGGAGGGAGAGGGGGAGAGGGGGGGAAGGGGAGGGGGGAGGGAGAGGGGGAGGGGGAGGGGGAGGGAGAGGGGGAAGGGGAGAGGGAGGGAGAGGGGGAAGGGGAGAGGGAGGGAGAGGGGGAAGGGGAGAGGGAGGCTGAGGCGGAGGAAAAGGGAGATGCTCTATCAAGGAATGGTCTGTCTGGGCTCGTAGACTTGCCTGTCTCTGGCTTACACGACCCACCACACCACCATCATATCACCTGTGATACCCCACATCTCCTCTCTCGCCCACCCACTCTACTTGTACCACCCAGCACCCTCAAACACAACCCACCACCCCGCACCCCACCCCACCCTGCCACACCACCCCAACACACCACCCTTCCAACACACTACCCCTCCATCACACCACCCCTCCAACACATCACCCCTCCTGCACACCACCCCTCCATCACACCACCCCTCCTGCACACCACCCCTCCATCACACCACCCCTCCTGCACACCACCCCTCCAACACACCACCCCTCCTGCACACCACCCCTCCTGCACACCACCCCTCCTGCACACCACCCCTCCTGCACACCACCCCTCCAACACACCACCCCTCCTGCACACCACCCCTCCTGCACACCACCCCTCCTGCACACCACCCCTCCTGCACACCACCCCTCCTGCACACCACCCCTCCTGCACACCACCCCTCCTGCACTCCACCCCTCCTGCACACCACCCCTCCTGCACTCCACCCCTCCTGCACTCCACCCCTCCTGCACACCACCCCTCCTGCACTCCACCCCTCCTGCACTCCACCCCTCCTGCACACCACCCCTCCTGCACTCCACCCCTCCTGCACTCCACCCCTCCTGCATTCCACCTCTCTACCACACCACCCCTCCTGCACACCACCCCTCCTGCACACCACCCCTCCTGCACTCCACCCCTCCTGCACACCACCCCTCCTGCACTCCATCCCTCCTGCACTCCACCCCTCCTGCACACCACCCCTCCTGCACTCCACCCCTCCTGCACTCCACCCCTCCTGCACTCCACCTCTCTACCACACCACCCCTCCTGCACACCTGTGCAGAGCTGCAGAATGAAGTGCACACACGTGGCGTCCTCGTATTGATCGATGAGCGTCGCAATGCCCACATAGCCGGTGGACAGGTGGGCGAGAATGGCTGCCTCCCTTGCCACGTTGGCACATGACGTGGGGGACAGGTGGCGCTGGTGGGAGATGGGCAGGTGAAGAACAGTGAAATGCGGTGGAAAGGTGTGAGCTTGGATGGCTGCCTCCCTTGCCACGTTGGCACATGACGTGGGGGACAGGTGGCGCTGGTTGGGGTTGGGCAGGTGGGAAACGGTGGAATGCGGTGAAAAATGACTGCCTCCTGTGCCATGTTGGCACATGACGTGTTGGACAGGTGGCGCTGGATGGGGTTGGCCAGGTGGGGAACGGTGGGAAGGGGTGGAGAGGTGGTTGAGGATGGTGGCCTCTTATGCCAAGCTGGCACAAACGTGGGGCAGCAGTGGTGCTGATTGGGCCCAAACAGAAAGGCCTTGCCAGGCGTGGGCAGGAAGGGCAGTGTCACCTTGGTGATCGTCTTGCAGCCAAAGTGCTGCTGCGACTTGCGCTGCCTTGCCATGTACGTAATGCCATACAGCCCCCGCCCCAGCTCCTTGCCTGTATGGGACAGAGGTGGGGTGGGGTGGACGCATGCACACATGCACAAGAAGTGAGATGCCTAGTGGTACCTTGCGGTTGTATGTGATGCCATACAGCCCCCGCCCCAGCTCCTTGCCTGCAGACGGAGCAAGGTGGGGTGGGGTGGAGTGCGGTGGAGTGGATGTATGTACAGTACACATGGCTGGACCTTGAGTTGCAGTGGATTCGTGGCAGTGTTGTGCAATGTATGTGATACAGACCCCGCCCCAGCTCCTTGCCTTAGGGTGGAAGGGGTGGGGTGGAGTGCGGTTGACGCACACACACATGCAAACATGCACATATGCACATGCACGCACGCATGCACACATGGGCGCATGCACGCAGCAAATGCACACACGCGTCAAAGGAAGTGGCGACATGTGATGTGATGTGATGTGATGTGATGTGATGTGATGTGATGTGATGTGATGTGATGTGATGTGATGTGTGCACCTCACCCTGCCTGCTCTGCTGGAAGGCCACACACATGCCTTCGAGCTTGCCTCCACACTGTCCTTCTCCCATTCTTCCCCTCACCCATCTCCGTTCTCCCCTCACCTTTCTTTCTCCCATTCCTCCCCTCACCCATCTTCCATTCCTCCCCTCATTCATCTCTCATCCCCCCCCCCCACCTCATCCCCTCATCTTCTCCTGCTCCTCCCCTCACCCATCTCCCATTCTTTCTCTCGCCCTTCTCCCGTTCCTTCCCGCACTCATCTTCCATTCCATCTCCCATTCCTCCCCGCACCATCTCCCATTCCTCTCCTCACCATCTCCCATTCCTCTCCTCACCATCTCCCATTCCTCTCCTCACCATCTCCCATTCCTCTCCTCACCATCTCCCACTCCTCCCCTCACCTATCCCCCATTACTCCCCTCACCTATCCCCCATTCCTCCCCTCACCTATCCCCCATTCCTCCCCTCACCTATCCCCCATTCCTCCCCTCACCTATCCCCCATTCCTACCCTCACCTATCCCCCATTCCTTCCCTCACCCATCCCTCATTCCTTCCCTCACCTATCTGATAATCCTCCTCCACTGCCCGAAAAGGCTGCCCCAAAAGGTTCTCGGGCGCACGGGGAGCGCCCTTGCGCGCTGCGCAGGAAGGGGGGAGGGGGGAGGAGAGCAGGTAGACGCGCCTCGGTTCCGGGTGGAGTGAAGCGCGAGGTCCGGAGAAAAGCTGGATTGGTCAGCGACGTATGAGCATCAGAACCTAAAGTGAATATGGCGCTGCTTGGGGGAGTTGAATCAACGCAGAAGTTATCTCGGTTGTTGGGAGTCAGTCGTACTTGACGCTCGGATCGCCTTACCCCGCCGGGCCGCGCTGTTCCTATCGGCGCGCAGCAAAGCCTCGCTGGAGAAACACGCGCCCATGACGCGTGCCGCGCGCGACGGCAACGGGCGACGGAGACGGAGACGGGCAAACAAGGACCGCCGCCCGCACCTGCCGTGAAACAGCTTGGAGTCTTCAGGCCGGCAGGCGCGAGTCGTTTCGCATGGACTCGCAAGAGAAAGCCGGCTGGGCGAGGCCAGGATCACCTACTATACTACGTCATAAGCCAACTGAGCTGGTCGCGCCGCGGCGGACTCACGGGAGTCAGAAGCGTGGACAGAGATGCATCGAGATGGTGCTGGACAGGTGTGCTAGGAGCGATATGCAGTAGTGGCAGTGCGGCGCGCATTGCGAGGGCAACACAGAGAGACGGTGGTGATGGAGCAGAGACGTTGTGGTGCAGTGAGATGGACTGGCTTGAGGCGGTCATGGTGACAGAGGTACAAGGGGCAATGAACCAGGTCGCATTGCTTCCAAGTTGGAAGTTCGCAACAGAATGTCGCGTTCGTTCAGGTGTGTGCGTGCTATGGGTGTGTTATGTGAACAAGGGCAGTGGAGGGAGGGGCCCTCCCCCCACAACTGTTGTGCAGCAGTACACTGATTGTCGCGTTCATCACGGAGTGTCGTAACTGTTTGCTTGTGTGCGGTGCCAGGCGATGCGGTAGCCTAGTTATTGTGTCAGAAGGGATCTGGAACGTTTTAGTAGGGTTGAATCCAGGATGGGTTGCTTTGCTGGTGGTCCCTATGAGTGTGCAGCGGACAACCAGAAATGACATGACTGTGTTTGCATCAAATGCCCATGCGATGCGACTCTATTGAGTACCATACGAATATTCTTCTGACCGCCTTGCGGGATTGAGAAAACGACTGGTCGAGCGCTGATCTGGGCATGTGAAAAAGGAGTGGACGGTGGTTATTGTGGTTGAGGATGATGGGCCACTCATGGCGGGAGCCTGACCGCAAAAAAAGGTGGCTGAGTGCATAAAAGGCTAAACACGTGATTTCTTGTACAGGGCACACGCTGTGTCAGACCCACCCAAACGAGGCTACACCGCACACACAGAAAGACAATATATTGAAATTCATTAAAGAACTTATTTACGGTACCACTTTTGCGTAATCAGGTCCCCCCCACCCGCACCTCCCAAATTGCCATTTACCTGGCACTATTGCTATTCATGCATGCACAATAGGAAGCACGAACCATGCATGGCGTACAATGTGCGTGCACACCACCCCACATGCGGTTCAAGGACCATGCACAATGAAGCCCAACCTCACCACGCAAAGAACTGTTGGGCTGAGAAATAGCCCTTAGGATCTTTTCAAGGCTAAGATCTCTTGTGGTAGTAGAAATGTTGTAATTGCGGAAGCGTAAATGAAGAGTTTGCTGAACCACCTTGCACTGGTATGTGAGAACAAGATAAGTTGATGATAGCAGGGGAATACAAGGCTTTTATATGATTACAGAGAAATATGAAAGATTCTACTTTAACTGTTTCTGCTGTTGTGGTTCGATACAGTGACGACTCGGGTAACTGCACAGTATCGAGTCAGTTATGTGTCCTTGCTGTCGCACTGCATTTTTTGTCAGGTCAAAGGTCAACGACCTTTGACCTTCGCGTAACCTCCAGCGGTTTGCTTTGTTGACTCGCGTGTTGTTTCGCTTGTAGTCTGCTCCGTTTTGTGTCGATACTTCGATTACTTCAAAAGCGTTAAGTTATTGTTTCCAACACTCCCCTTCGCTTCTGGAGTGTCGCTGCTGATGACGTGTCCTTGTTCAGTCAGCAGCATGCAGTACTCGGACTTTTGTTTTCCGAGTTTCTTGGTCAAGTAATCGGCTGCCATGAGATAGGGCCGATAGGTTCGAGTCGGTAGATGTAGCCAGTTCAAGATCGTTTGTTGTCGGAGTCTCTAGCGTGATCAGCGTCGACGTAGTCGATTAACTTAGGTGTCGTAGTTCCAGTCTTGTGGTAGGTTAGTCCGATCGTCGGGGTGCTGACGAGGTAGTGAAGTGCACGGTCGAGCTCCATCATGTGCTCTGCTTCAGGCTTCTTAAGGTAGGTAGCGAATTGACTAGCTGAGTAAGATAGATCAGGTCGGCAGGCAACGGCTGCGAAGAGTAGACAGCCTAACTTTCGTTGGTAGTCGCGAATGCCGGCGGGTTTGAGTAGGACGGAGACTTTGCGATTTCCGTCGGTGTAGCGGTATGGCGTGGTGATGGCAGTTGGAGTAAGTCCGAATTGTTTAGCGATGGTGCCAATGTATTTTTCGGCGCTGAGGTAGATTGCGTTGTCGCCGTCTTGTATGTTGAGTCCTAGGTACTGTGTCACGGTAGTCGCGACCGTGAGTGTGAGATCCCGCTGCAGCTCCCCTTCAAACCAGGTTGTTATGTCGTCGGTGGAGCCTATGTAGAGGAGGTCGTCTACGTAGACGATGAGTAGGATGTAGTCAGTCCCCTTAGTGAGTCGGTACATCCCTTAGTCGTGCGGTAGTTGGAGGAATCCGATGCGGATTAGGCGGGCGTGAAGATGCTACTGCCACAGTCTCGGGGCTTGTTTGATGCCGTACATCGACTTTTCCAGCTGACAGACTTGGTTGGGGTCTGCGTTAGACCCATGCGGGAGTTCAACGAAGATCTCAGCATCGACGGGGGCATAGAGGAATGCGTTGGCAACATCGATTTGTCGAAGTTTCTTCCGCTTCATGGCGGCTATCGCGAGGAGAATCCGCATTGAGGTATGTCGGCTAACTGGTGCAAATGTTTCCGTGAAGTCTCGTCCTTGCTCTTGGTCGAAGCCACGCACGACCCAACGTGCCTTGAATTTGTCAATTGTTCCGTCGGCTTTTGTTTTCACGCGGAAAACCCATTTTCCCGTGAGAATGGTCTTGTTGCGTGCCACTCCGATAGGCATGAATTTCCAAGTGTTGCGTTCTTGCAGTGCCTTTAACTCTCTGTCCATGGCTTCGCGCCATTTTTCCCTGTGTTCCCCCCCAAGAGCCTGCTGAATGTTGGCAGGCTCCTTAGATGGTGCTGCTCCGTGGACAGCGGTGACGACTCCCAGTACCTGCAGGCCGCTCTGTGTGTAGCGGGGGACATTTTTGTCCTCGGGATAAGCTGCTGTTAGAATTTATATATAACTGCCTGTAGCTGTAGTTTAGTGTAGTTATTATAAACTGTTGGTGGTGCACCTTCTTTGCATGCTCTGTTTACTATATGTACCCTAGTGCTATAGTGAACATCACTTTTCCCATTCTCGACTCTCACCTTGGCACAACCTCCTCGACTTCCCCTAGGCCTAGGCTACTAAGCCTAGGCCCTACCTAAAACCTAAGCTTACTCTTACTTAGTAACTCAACATGGCATTAGAGCGAGTTACGTCCTGGCCTGTGGGCCCGCCTCACGCTTCCGCTGCTGTTTTTCCGGTCGCGCGCCTCGGGCGCGTGGCGATTTTCGTCCTGTCCCGCCCCCGGGTGGCGAGTGACATCTTTTCTGCCCGTCGCGCGCCCCGTGGCACGCGACGGTGCCCTGCCCGTCGTGCGCCCCGTGGCATGCGACGGTGCCCTGCCCGTCGTGCGCCCCGTGGCACACGACGGTGCCCTAAACCTGCCCGTCGTGCGCCCCGTGGCACGCGACGGTGCCCTGCCCGTCATGCGCCCCGTGGCACGCGACGGTGCCCTGCCCGTCGTGCGCCCCGTGGCATGCGACGGTGCCCTAAACTGCCCGTCACGTGCCCCGTGGTGCGCGACGGTGCCCTGAGCCGCCGCGGAACCGCCCCTGGCGCCTGCGACGGTGTCCTGAGCCGCCGCGTACCCGCCCCTGGCGCACTCGGCGGTGCCCCTGCCTCACCCGCGCCTGCACTCGCTGCAGCCGCCCCTGCACCACCCGGCGCCTGCCCTTGGAGCAGCCGCCCCCGCTCCTGCACTCGGTGCAGCCGCCTCTGCCTCACCCCGCGCCTGCACTCACTGCAGCCGCCCCTGACCTACCCGCGCCGACCCTCTGTAGCCGCTCTGCGGCTTTCTCCCCGCCCACCCCCTCCTCCTTCGTCTCCCTGCAGCCGTGGGGGGGAGGGTATGGGGGTGGCGGGTGTTGGGGTGATGGGTGGTGTGCTTCCCTTCCCCTCCTCCTCCTTTCGTTCCCACTGCTGCAGCTGCCGCTGGGGGGGAGGGTGTGAGGGTGTGGGGGAGCCGGGGGAGTGGCACTGGGGTGGCGGGTGTGAGACCAACCAGCAGCCGTCCCTCCACCTCTCCTCTCTTCCCCCCTCTGCTGCTCCTGCAGCAGTGTGGGGGGGAGGGGGAGGGGGAGGGTGAGGAAATGGAGGGGGTGACCAGCCAGAGCCAGCCCACCTCCTCACTCTCCCTGCTGCCCCTCCTGTGGTTGGGGGGGGAAGAGAGTAAGGGGGTGGCAGGAATTTCTTGCTGTCGCCTGTCCCTTTGCTGCTGTACCTTCTCTGTTACCGTACCTGCTGTTGCTGTTGCTGGTATACCCCTGCAGGTTGTGTTCTGCACAAACTCCTGCTGCAGGCAGTTATGGGGGAGTGTTAGAATTTATATGTAACTGCCTGTAGCTGTAGTTTAGTGTAGTTATTATAAACTGTTGGTGGTGCACCTTCTTTGCATGCTCTGTTTACTATATGTACCCTAGTGCTATAGTGAACATCACTTTTCCCATTCTCGACTCTCACCTTGGCACAACCTCCTCGACTTCCCCTAGGCCTAGGCTACTAAGCCTAGGCCCTACCTAAAACCTAAGCTTACTCTTACTTAGTAACTCAACAGCTGCTTCATCTCCCACTTCTGGATCCGGTAAGAAATTCGGTCCTATG